ATGGAGTCACATCTACTATTATATTGTAGGAAACTTGTCAATCAGGGGCATTACCTCCTGGTGATTGGTGACACCAAGTTATAAAAAAAGGAGTATCTCAGAAACTTCCTACACTGATTATTTTCCGACCGGCATCACCACTTTGTTTTATATCCGCGCATTCCCTTGAAGTGAATCAAGTGACAACCACCGAACAATCTAATTTGAATTATCTCAAATTTCAATCCTTCGTGCTGCAGTCAGAATCGTATTATAACTCACTCAATTTTTCAACTATCTGTCAGAATCACCATCCGTCGTTCATTTCGAAATAATAACATACCTTTTCAAAGATAACGTATATTGTCACATTGGAGATTCCGAAGCGAATCAGTCTCTCGCCTTATACAGGGGACTGCCGTGTGACATGATTGCATACGTGTGAATTTCCACAACTTCTGCCGAACTTATGCTCCAACTGAAAGTGAAATGTAATGCTTCTCCAATATTCGGCCCAAGATTCAACCAGATCCTGTCGAAATATTTTGGGCGCCTCGCATGAAGCAACTCTAACATAACTCGGCAAATAATATCTCCAGCCTTTACATACATGACCCCTACTTGAAACACCCTTCTGATGTTCTTTTAATCCTCAAGCTTGCTAGCAAACCTTGCTGCTTGCCCCGCTCCCCCTGGACAATGATGGTAGTACGCACTTTACCTTGGGCAACAACGTAGCTATTCTCTTCTCATCCTTCTTCAAACGAACCTTGTCCAGGAGGGTACCCTACCCTATCATACCCTACAGAAGAGCACTGCCTGTAATCGGGCGCGGGTTCAATTCTCGGTCAGAAGAATTTTCTGACAAGCGTATCATCATCATTCATGATCAATACGAAGGTTCGATTCCTGCCAACTACATTCCACTTTACCTATGTTCAACTCCCCGCCGCTGCAACTCTTCCATGGATCTATCATTCATGTCCGGTATGTGGGTTCAATTCGTGCTTAGTGCATTGCATCTCATGTCCGGGTTCGATCCCCGGTCATGGAAATTCTCCCATGACCATGTCGTCCCCAACCTTCGATTCCATTCCCCATGCTAGCGCGATCTTTGGGTTGCTTACCCAACGCCGCTCCCGACTGCCTCCGCTCGTTGCTGAAACTCGCAGGTTTCCTCGTGCGCATCCGAATTCGACTCCTAATCTGGAAAAAACAGCATTCATCAGTCCTATTATTTCCAGTTCCACGATATTTCGGAAATCGTTGGTATTCTAATGCCCCATTGCTCGTAGCTAAAAGGAGTACATACTCTTAGCCTCGGTTGTTCATTGATTTATAGTCTTACTACCTTGTGATTGTTGAGTTGCATCCAATTGAATGGTTGCGGTTCTTGAATGTTCAAGACGATCATCCACTTGGCGGTCTGTTTCATTTTGCTCAATACGGCCTTCCGGTCCTGGAGTACGAAGCTATTAGCCAGCCAGTTTCTGTAAGGTACATGGTGATCGAGGAACTGAAACTAAAATGTTTACCACAATAAGTCATGAATTATTTTATATGGCTTGAACTGCGAACAAGGGACGGTTACTTACGTTTCTCAAAGACAGTAGTCTTTCCCCCGTAGTGGCTCCCGCTGTTGGGATGCTGAGTATTTCAAAGTCCGACATTTTTAGTAGCCGAGTTTCAGGTGCTTTTTGTTGGTATTACGTAGCCGGTCTCAGGAAGTGTAACTCGTGTATATCAACGGGCGACAAGTGGTTGAAGGCGTTTCGTCCGAGTCCGCGGAACCTGAGAAGTTTGGTGTCCAGGACGCTACTCTCGTAAAGGATCCCTATCTCTCGTAAACGCACTATTCATAAACTGCAACTACTGACTCTTACGTTCAACTAACTGACCACCGTCTATTAGCTCTGCAATCGCAGAGCATGAGCTTTCCCATGTATAAGTGTCATCCCTCTATCTCCCCTTTCGACCTTCCTTGGATCTGCAAACTTGTATGTGTCATTCGCGACTTGGATAAAATAATCCCCGATTGAATCCAGTTTAGTCCCATAACTCTGCCTACATCCTTGCATAACAACCGCTATATGTATATAATCAGAATGGATGTAAATTCGGCCAACTCTATCAGGACAAATGACTCCAAAGCTTCAACGTAGTTTCCCTTCATTTCGTCATTTAATTTTCCCGCATTTTGTAGGCCACTTTCATTAAAAGCAAACTCTCTCGACAGATCCGGCGGTGCTCTCCGATTCGTAAGGTTCGTCAAGCTATCCGCTAGTGTACTATATTTGTCATTTTTAATCGTGTCCCACAAACCTTGGTTGTTCTTCCCTCCCCTCCAATAGCTGGATCTACTCCTGTCAAGAAAGGTGTGGAAGTAATCCGGGATATCCTGCATTGAAGAGTACTTGCTAGATATAGTTGTGAAACAAGACTGTGCACTGTTCAATCTATTCCCGTCATTTCTGTATACCGTATACAACCGTTCCCAGGTTTCATCAGCAGTAAATAGTTGAGTTCGATCCCTGGAGTTGTATCGTCTCTAGCGGTAGGGACTCCCTGCCAGGGAGTCCCTACCACTACCATCACTTTTGGGTGATACAAATCACCGTTCAATCTACCCTCCTCCGCGATGTCCGGCCATAGACCATACTCGAAATACTCTCCAAACGTATCCTGCCTAGTAAAATAAGAGTCTACATCTTTAGGAGTAGTCCCCTGCAGTTGCCCGGTCGCCCGCAACTGCTCATACTTCTGGAAATAATACACCGCACGGGCCACAGTAGTCATGAAGAACTGCAGAGCTAATTGGGTTGCTCTGTTAACATTCTTAGCAGTATTTCTCCAGTGACGAAGACGATTTATCATATCCTTTGAAGGGGTGCGATTAGCCATAGTGGACAGATGTTCAAACAATAAAACTGACCAGAATCATTATGTACGTGTATTATATTGTGATCGGGTTTTCTATAAGCAGGCCTGCCGTACAACTGGCCAGTATATGTCCTATACTATAGGGGTCTTCACGTTGTTGTACCGCTACATTGATAAGTTTGCACAGTCCAAAAGTTGTAGATTGGGGTACAAAATATATATATACGTCAGTTATTCATGACCTTTCTTAGCGGCTAAGTTCCAGCCGACATCTTGAAGGGCGTATATTAATGTGGTGTAGCCAGCGCCGCGCGGTGTGGTAGTCTCTTTATACCCGACATCTGGCAAGGGTCGGAACGGCGGGTGTCGCTTTCTTTTTCAGACCTTGCGGTGATTACTCGAAATTTTGGAGCCTCGTGTCGCACAGTTTGAGTATATTCATGATGTGTCACCAGGGTGAAGACTGCATGTCGTAGATACCTCGTTGCCACGGGCTTCGACCTCCTTCAGGACGTAGTATCTACCTCTAATGGATAGGTAGGCTCTCTACCTCAGCTGCGATTATGCAGCAAGGCTATCACCGCCCGTGAGCATTGTGAATTGAAGGTTGCTTGAGTAGCCTCGCTTCAACCGAGGAAGAGACGGTACTACTGGGGGTGTGTTGTATGCGGTGAGAACGATGTCTCGTTCCTAAGTCTACACTGCTCTTGACGCCTGGCTGGAGGACATAGGGCGATAGGCATATGAATTTGGATTCACCACTACACATGAGTCCAAGTACCACCCGGGTGAGCTGATAGATGGTTACCATATGGCATCGGAGCTTCAAGAAATCTAGTGCTCGTCGCTTTTCCAATTGTGTATGTTAGAGAATGTCCTGCGCACCACTAAACGGCAGTACACAGTGATCCCCCGATTCGCTTCCCATTTCTTTCGACTGTGATACACATCGGCGCGTGAGTGCACTTGAACTCAACATATTGATCCAGTATCGCTGTGACTATGAATCGGGCTAGAGTTTTGAGTGATAGGTATACTTCTGACACATGCACTGACTATCATGCAAGAGCAACACTCACGGGTGCGGCTCGCATAGTGGACTGGGGATGGATTGCCTCCGTTTTACCATCACCGTTCTTCCGTACTCCATCTGTTGGTAGTCGGGCCGCTTCTTCTAAGAAGAATCTTCTTACGTAGCCTCTTCCTCAGTGGGGGTGTGCTTATTTGGATCGGACTAACCGTCGCCGAGCTACCGTCCCCCAGTCGTGTATTGTTAATAACAACTTGTTATCAGCCTCTGAGGATATATCGACGTCGTTGTCACCTCCAGCCTGGAAGATGTTCTCATCACGGTCTAAAATTGATATGATGTAATAACTTCTACTGCGTGCTATTTCTCACACCTGTACATAGCTGTATTTGAGCAGGTTGTGGGCCGTCGCCTGTCAGGGACTGAGGCTCTGAACGTGACTCTGTGCTCGAAGGGGAGGAAGAATGAGCGCCTGAATAGTGCTGGGACTCAGGCTGAGTGACTGAGACTGCAACGGGTCGGTGTGAGGCGTTGCATTGTTTAATATTAAGCGAGCATCTACTCTTTAGAGACACCTTATTCGCCTCATTACTGGAAGATCTTCGTGCGGGTGTTGACGAAGTAATGCGGCTGGTATCGATTCGCCTTGCGCGCTGCGGTAGTCTGGACATATTGGGAGGTCCTCGTGCCATGTTATTGTCGATCTGCTCTCCTCGTTCTCGATGTGCGTCATCGATCTCGAGGGCCGACGTTGTGTCGTACCTGAAACACGGCGGAGCGAGACAACCGACTACCGTGCCTCATGGTGAGGCCCTCCCCTGTCCGATCGGACCGCTTACTTACTTTGGCCGTCCGACCGACTTCGGCCCGAAATTAAGAAGGTCTTTAGTCTGGTAGGGTCCGAGATGTCCCTGGACCAACAGCTTTACTCCTAAGGAGTGGTCAAAAGTCTTCTTCGTCTTCTTAGCTTGCTTGAATTGGTAGCATTGCTACCGTAGCAAGTACAGGAGTATCGCATTCCGGGCCGGGCGTCGATTATGAGAATATTCTCGATGGCAGTACGGATCTGGCTCCAGTCATCCCATTCCGCAGCTGCTGCTCTTTGGTGTCGTAGGTACAGCTGTGCAACCATGCTATCTACAACGTCCTGATTGGCCGCTGATTGTAATAGAGCCTTGCTAGGGACCATCATGGTCCGACCATGTAATAGCTCGCAGACTCAAAAAGTCACCACTTTTACCTTGTTTAAATTTTTACCTTGTCTACACTTTTACCTAGTCTGCACGCCACTTTTTAGGTTCGGTGTGGAGGCCGAGGGTTCGAATCCCACATCCGTCATTTTTTCTTAAAAAATGTTTTAATCAATTTTATCGATCACACATAGCGTTTGTTTATATTTTAATAGTCTGTCTTGTAGAGCTTTTCAAGGGCTTTCGAATGGTGTATAGCTTGTTTAGATTTATTTACTCGGACGCTACTATGTCACATGGCACATTCGGCTCCTGGTAGCTCTTTGAAAGTTTCAGGTGGCAAGACACCGGCCATTGAGATGAACGGAGATTCAGATATAACTAAGAGATGGTAAGGATGATAGATCGATTTGCATATGTGAAAGATATGAAAGGAAATTTAGATCGATATTTGATCTCATTCCCGCTATGCACGTATCCTACAACGTGCTAGTTTCGACACAAACTCTTTCGCTGACTCAATCCCACCGAATCCTCATACTGGGGGTTGGATCCCCGCTCAGGGATATTTTTCCTACTTGGGATTCCAAATCCCAAGCCTCTCAGCGAGAGGCTCTCGCTAATAGTAGCGTCAACTGGGACCTCGCACTGAGGATAGGATCTGCACTCGAAGATGCGTTCTCGAGCCTCTCGCTAACAACTTTGTCAACTAGACACTCTCACTGAGGATGGGATCAGCTTTACCGACGCGTTCTTGAACCTCTCACTAACAATATGATAAACTAGGTTCTCCCCACAAGGATAGGATCTGCGCTCGATGACGCGTTCCTAATCCTCTCATTGACAATAGGCCAACTCGACACTCACACTGAGGATAGGATCTGCGCTCGATGACGCGTTCCTAAGCCTCTCATCTATAACATGGCCAAACCAGCATTCACACTGAGGATAGGACCTGCGCTCGATGACGCGTTCCTACGCCTCTATCCATTAATACGGCCAACAGGATCTTCCTAGACTTCAGTACTACACTTGTGCTGTCAATGTACAACTCCCAAGGCGCTACTCGACAAATTATGACCTTCAAAGTCAACGAGCATGTAGGATAGAATGTGCTGGTCATATATCCCGACGGATCGACTACCGAAAGATCCTAGGAAAGGAAAAAAACTGTCAGGTACTAATAACTTTCCTTCGGTATCCTCGGATTATTGAAGCACCTGCGAGCGACCGAGCTCGCTCGCTCGCCCATCGAATCACTTCCTCTGGAGTAGACCCTAGCCTCTGTCGAGACTTTCCATAAAGTGGGAGGTAGTTGCCAGGAATCGAAAATTCATATTGATCATGAATGGTGATGATACGCTTCTCAGAAAATTCCTCTGACCCAGAATTGAACTCGCGCCCGATTACAGGCAGTGCTCTACTGTAGGGTATGGTTGATCATTATTATAGACAACACTCATCCGTTGAACCCTTGGAAATGGATGAGATGAGAATAATGGTAGAGATTACCACTGTGTGAACGGACAACGAAACAACTTAGTAACAGAAGGGCATAGGGAATTGGCCAATTAGCAATTCCCAGCATAATATATTACCGTAGCCATCTGGCTCAAGGTAAATATCAGGTCCGCTCGCTAGGCTGCAGCCGGAAGGTGAATGCCAGTTACCTTTTTAGCACAACGTACTTTCAAACTACATGCATTCATTGAACACCACTTTGCTACGATCACCAGTGGTGATTCACCACCCTCCTAACCCCGCTGGACTGTCCAGCTTAGGACCTCTCTTAAGCCTTGTCACAAGGCTTAAGAGAGGTCCTAAGGCCTTAAGGAGCTTTTGAAGAAGGATAAGAAGAGAATAGCTAGGTTCTTGCTCAAGGTCAAGTGCGTACTACCATCGTTGTCCGAGGGGAGCGGGGCAGCAAGGATCTTTGCTGAAGCACTGACATGAGCAAATGCGGAATAGTAATCGACTGACCAGATGAAAAAGATGTCGCC